GTATCTTGTTTTTAAATAGTAACGTGGAATAAAATGGGAAAAACAACTTTCTACTTCTTACCTTTTTAAAAATGTAGTGAGTAGAAAGTAAAAATGTAATGAGTAAAAGTAAAAAGTACGCTGAAAAATAATTACTCAAGTAAAGTACAGATAACCAAAAATTCTACTTAAGTACAGTAACAAAGTATTTGTACTTAGTTACTTTACAACTCTGGTTTTAACGATGAAAAGACTGGATGATAAAAAAAAGAATTTGAGCTGTTTCACCTTCTCTGGCTTTAGCAGCTTCCATTTCTCTGCTGAGGGTCTGATGGTCGAAGCGGAAAGCCTCCAACACAGAAACGAGCAAACTGGTAGAAAAAAMCCGACGACAGAGGAGTTAGCATCAGGTTTAATAAGATCAAAGTAAAMGTTTAAGGCAGTCACGAACCTGACGGCCAGCTTCTGTTCAGTCTGCGACGTCTGCAGGATGTGGACGAAGTGTTTCAGATAGTAGAGGTACCTGGACCAGGTCAGCCTGCGACACACTGCGCCCACCACCTCCACCGCTGCTGACGTCATGTTCTCATACTGCAGGTTCAGAGAAAAGTTTAAACTCAAAGATTAAAAAAAAAAAACAACCTGCATTCTAAAACAAGAAAAGGCGGGGTCACCGTCAGCATCTTCAGGTCCATCACGGCGGTCAGGGCGTACGGCATGATGTAGCTGTGCAGGGTACGCGGCGACATCATCACCGTGCCCTCCGTCAGCTGTTTGGCCAACTTCCTGAGGGCGCGGCCTCGACGGTGGATCTAACCAAAGACAAAACGCACGTCAGGCTTTGCCCCCGCCCAACAGACACTGACGTTTATAAAAACCCGACCTGGATGTGCTTCATGTGCTCGAAGAAGTCGGACTCGGGGTCRTTGTAGTCGGTGAGCTGAACCAGGTCTCTGAACTCCTTCCTGGTGGGGAAGTTCTTCACCAGGCAGGCGAGGATGGTGGTGTATTCATGCTGCACGCTCTGAACACACACAGGTTATTAAACACCGCTTCTGTTTTTAGTCCTGATTAGTTGTAAAATAACRAGGAGGACGAGGTGAACCTCTGTCTTGCTGCGGAGTCCTCTGTGGACGGCGTCCAGGATKGTCTGAAGAATCACGTCCTTGTAGATCTGCTCTCCCACCCCGACTGCAGCCGCCTGAGCGATGAYCCCCGACAAACACAGCGTGGCGTTGTCTGCCAGCGACATGTCGCCGATCTGTTGGAGAGATAAACACGTGAGACGTCTGGCTGCAGCCTTTAGTTCAGAGCACAGCTGATCCGAGTACCTCGTATGTGTGGAAGCAGTTGTAAACCAGAGCGTAGATGTAATCCAGGTCCAGAGTCTGCATGTCTCGGACCCGCCTGGTGGCCTCTTGGAAGGCGGTCAGGCGCACGTCGAAGTAGATCTCGTCGAGGTGTCGGCTGTCGAAGGCGTTCAGCTGGAGGGTTTGAAGCTGTGAGTTTTAAGAGTTCTGTAAAACGTTTCTGATCTCATCAGGATGAGGCTCACCTTCGCTGAGAGGTCGGTGATGTACGAGAGCGAAGGGTCCAGATCTGACAGAGTCTGACGGCAGAACAGACCAGTTCAAAACGACTCCATTTATCCACTGCTTGCTTAGTTTTAACACACTGTCAGAGTTACAGATTTAAACTCTATAAATCATGAAGCTCGGACTAAAAACACTCAAAGATCACAAAGATAAAAAACTTCCTCGTAAAATTGTGTAAAAGTGTGAACACTTTTCTTCTGTATGCTTCTCGGCTCGTAGCTCATTTTGCAATTTTTGTGCTTTAAAACAATTTATAAATCAAAGCGTCCCGCTTCTTCAGAACATTCCAGCTGTGACTTTTCAGCTTATATTGTTTTTAATATTTAGTTTTTTCTGCTGTTTTTCCTCACTGAAAATAAACAGAGTTGTCTTTAACATGGTTGGTTTTAAAATGTTCATAAATCTTTACTGTACTTTTTATGTTTTTTTTATCTCTTTGAGCTAAAATCAGCTCCTTTCAGCAGATTTTAGTTTGTTCCTGCTTTTTTAGTGCTTATTCTGACTAGCTGTTCTGCTAATTCCAAACTTTTTGTGCTTCTTTCAACTTTTAATGCTTCTTTAAGCTGATTTCTGCTAATTTCAGCTGTTTTCTGTATTTCAGCTACCTTTCATTTTGAGTTTTTTTTTTCCCAACATAATTCACCTTTTGAGATCATTTCAGCTTCTTACTAACTAATTCAGCAAACAGGCTTGGTTTCCTTTTGTAATTTCAGCTAAGTTTTTTTAGTAATAGTTTATTCATTCATTTATTAAAAAACCAACATATTTTCTATATTCAATAAAAATATAAATCATAAACAAAAGGTAGCAGAAGAAGAATAAATCTTATATCTGACCCTTGTCTCGAAAAAATTAATTTAAACAAGATTAGTCCTCAAATAACAAAAACAACAAAAAAGAAGAAAATAAAGGTTAAACTCCTACAACAACAACTTGTATAAATACTAAGCTTTATCATCCTTTTAGCTATTTGTTTGCTATATTTAGCTGGTTTTAGCTTTTTCTGAGCTWTTCAGCACAAATCTTTCAGCATTAAGCATTCACACTGCACACAGTACCTACAGTTGTTTGCCTGTGCACTGAAGTTTTAAGAAAATTTAACTTTTCATCACTTTAATGAGTCCATTTTCATCCAAGCAAAACTTTAAATAAACWCAACTAAAAGGCAACAAAACACTGATCTCATCCATTTTTTTTACTTGTCCTTTCTGTAAAGGTCACAGTGTGAGAGGTGAGGGACACTCTGGACATGTCTCAGTTTAGGGACAGAGACAAACCACCCTTCACCCTCTCACCTGCATGGAGGAATAATTTCATTACCGATGAGGTCATTTGTGGAGAAAACCCACACCTGCACAGGGAGAACATGTAAACTCCACCCTAAAAGTCCTCAGGCCAGGAGGCGAACCAGCGGCTTTCTTGCAGAGACACAGCTCTAACCGCTGCCCCACTGTGTCGCTCTAATGACTAAAAGTTAGAGTTTAAAAACTGGCAGATGAATCACAGACGTAAACACTTTGTTTCATCAGAATTCAATCTAACGTTTCACCTTCACTAACTGCTGACCACTCCAGCAACTGCCTGATAACACTATAGTGCTCATGCACACTCGTCGCTAACTTWATTATTATTATTATTTTAAAATCAGTGAAAAGTGTGAACCTGAAAGACGGCGACGAGGGCCTTCCTGGGCAGCTTGTTGTGAACGACGGAGAAGAGTTTACTGAGCGGGCGCAGGAAGGCAGCGGGCTGAACGCAGCGCCGCAGCAGGTTCTGTACGGTGGCCAGGATGTCCATCTCTGTCTCCTGAAACCAACACAAGGCTTTAATCACACACAAACCCTCGCGTCACCGAGTTTATGAGTTTAAATAACGASTGAGACTCACCTGAGGGTTGTTGCCTTTCAGGAGGTAAGGAAGCAGCAAGCTGATGAGCGTCGAGCTCTGCTCCTGGTCGCAGACAAATCGACTCACCCTGTCAGAGAACAGGCAGGCGATTACATAACTGACTCTGTTAGCAAAATATCAGGAGGGATTGTGATGAAACTTTCAGATTAAAATCACTGATTCATAATCAACCAGACTCAAGATGGCCGCCACAGATAATCCGTCTTAAACACAAACATGGTTATATTTTTACACGTTAAGCTAAAATTTGGTGTGGTGGTTGACGAAATTTGTCCAAAACACACAGCGAGTGCTCAGTGGTGGGCAGCACTAATCTAAAAATTAGTTGCATTAACCCTAAAGCACTAACTTTAATATTTATGTCCCCTAATTCTAAAGCACTAAAAGCCCAGCTGACCCATGGAACACTCCTCAGAGTCGACATGAGACAATATTTTCTGTGTGCAGGATACTTTTTATATTTTATCTAATGTAGTGGTTCCCAAAGTTGGGGTCAGGACCTCTTTGTGGGTCACAAAACGTCAAGTGAGGGTCCCCAGATGACTTCCAGACATCAATTTAAATGCAAAAAGGAATATTTTCATCATGATTATTGCAATTTTTTAAATAATTATAAATGAATAAAAATTAGTATCATAGTCATTGTTTGTTTATAGTTATTATTCCCATGTTTAACAGAGTTATTAGCAATGTTTGCTACATAAACAAGTAATATCTGGGGTCAGGAGTGTCTGCAACTGTTATTTTGTGGGTCAGAAGGAAAAAAGTTAGAAAGCCACTGATGTAGTGGAGAAGTGACCAACATGTCTGACAGCTTGACAACAATGTTGATCAATAACATTTAAAGAACTCAGTTTTAGATTTAGCTCATAAAYTTAACAAGTGCTAATCCACTAAAACATTAAGAAATTAACAGAAGCCCTAAAGCACAAATCAGGAAATTAGTTCCCCTATTAGTGCTTTAACTGTGACCACCACTACGAGCGCTAAATGTTTGTTTTTAAGAATGCTACTTTTATTCAATAAAGACAATGACATTTTGGGAACAGTAAAATCAGCAGTAAAACATTACTTATAAAATGTCTTAAATGATGTTACACTCACTTGGAGAGGATGTTGAGTTCTTTAGCCACCTGTRCCTTGAACTTCTTCTTCCTCAGCCGGCTGGTGTTGCGCACGACTCCGCTGAAGTACCTGAGCAGGGTGGAGATGTGAGGCAGCAGCAGCCTGGAGCCCTGAGTCAGCGGTTCTGGAGGAGGAGGAGGTGCAGAGTTGTTGTTTTTCTTTTTAAGTGTTTAGTAAATTTATTCATTTTCATTTAAAAACAAAACAAATACTATACAACAAAAAATACAAATCAAATAAAATGAAAGGTAGCAGAAAAAAATCTTATTAACATCTGCCCCTTTTTCCAAAAAAAAAAAAAAAAAAATTCAAACAATTATAATCGTCAAATAACAAAAAATAAACTTCTCCTTGAACAGCAGCTCTTACGAATGCACATTATACAAATTCATATTTCTTCAATAATCTAACTTTTATAATTCTCTTAAACAAATTTATTGAGTCAGTATTTATATAATCACTTTCCAGATTATTCCACAGTCTTATTCCTTCAAGTTCGTTCAAATTTTAGGCTTTAAAAACATCTCTAGCCCCTTAAGATTATAATTACTTACTCTCTTAACAACATTTAACTGGATATTTAAAGGTGATACATCTTTATGAGCATTATACATAACCTGCAAAATATAATAATCAACCAACTCATAAAATTTCAATAATTTCAATTGATAAAATAATATATTTGATGRGTGACTGTAATGTTTTCTGGTGATAATTCTTACAGCTCTTTTCTGTAAAATAAAGAAGGGATTAGTAATTATTTTTCATGCTTTATTCCAGACTTCAATACAATAAATCAAGTGTGGAACAATTATAGCGTTATGTAACACAAACAGTGCTTTATCATTAAATAAGTCCCTCCTTTGTACAATACTGCAATGGATTTGGTTATTTTTCTTCTTAAATAATTTATGTGAGATTTCCATGTCAGATTTAAAGATCTAACTTTGACCGGCGGTGACGAAGCGAATGTTATTGTGCGAACCTGAAGCGGCGGTGGTCTCTTCGGGCTGCGGGAACACACAGCCGCTCACGACGACCTCGGCCTCCGTTTCCGATGCGATGAAATCCTCCGCCGTGGCCAGAGACTCGGTCATGTCCATCACCACCGCGATCGTAGCCGGCGAGGCGTTCTTGGCCGACAGGAGGTTGAAGACGTTCAGAAGGACGTCGCACTCCGGGTGGTCCGGTTTCTGCTTGGCGAGGAGGGGGAAGTACCTGAAAYGAGCAGGAAAACATCAAAGCCGGGATTTTTTTTTATTCTTTAACGTGAGCGGTGGAAATGCTGACCTGGCGTTTTTGCACCACACGTGGAGGAGCTTGAGCAGCGGGGTGGGGGAGTAGGGGCTCTCCACGGGGAGGCGACACACCTGCACGTCAAAGCAGCTCAAATTAAAGCAGAGGAACTCGGAGCGGCGACACAAAACCTGAGCGCAGCACGGACCTGAGGCCAGACCACGGCCAGGAACACGGCTTCCATCTCGTCTGAGCTGAAGCTGTACGAGTCGAAGTCTTTGAAGAAGTCCAGAATCCTCAGAATACCCAGCTTCCTCAGGTTCTTCAGAGGACTRACGCAGCCGGGTCGCAGCTGTCGGAGCACACGTCAGGTTGGATTTATCAAACAGAAACCATAAAATCTTTTTTTTTAAACCAGCTTCTCACCTGGTCCCTGCGCTCCAAGGAGGCCGACACGGAGGCGGTGATGCACAGCAGGGTCTGCAGCACTTTGGGCAGGTAGTCGTGGATCAGGTGTCCCAGGTTTTGGATCACGACGTTGATGGTGTTCAGCAGGCTGTGCTGGTGGCCCAGAGGAAGGACGGCAGCCAAGTCCGTCTCAGCGATGACCTTCTGCACCGCAGACAGGCAGGACCCTGACAGGTCAGACAACATCTCAGGGYTTGTTTTCTAATGGTCTACAACAGGGGGTCCTCAAACAACTTTAGCTTCTGGCCGGGGACCCCCTTGCAAGTTGACAATAAAATACATCAATAAATGTAAAGAAATATAAACTTTTTAGAATGTTTTTCTCTACTTTTATTCACTATTAGCTGTAAAGCTTAATGTAACTGCCTGATTTGACTTGGCCAGGAGTTTTTTATGCAGTGTCCTCTATAGCAGGGCTGCTGGTCGGTTCATTTGGCCTTTTTTTTGTCACGAACTTGTCCATTGCTCTGCTAGCTTCAGACTGAACAAACTCTGTCACTATTAACCTCAGGAGWACTGCCATCTGTAGTTTCCTGTGTGCTTCTTGCAAGTTTAGTTCTGAGAGYGGGAACAAACCCGGAACAACAACAAAGCAGAGCGATGGATGGTTGTAGCAAAAATCAAAGACATTCTTGCCAAAAAATAAAGACTTCATGTAAATATTTCTAAAAATGGGACAGCTAATTTATAAATAAATAAATGTGCTTTAACTCTAGGCTCTATTATAAGAAAGTCCACAGCATTTCAGTGTCAACAAAGTTATATCTGTCAGATTCTGATCACCTCATTGAATTTTTAAGTGGTTCACAAGTGGTTATTTTAGATTTCTTGCACACCTGTCTTAAAATGTAAGGTATACTAGAGCCAGTTTGGGATGTGGCTCACAGTGGGCACTTTAAAATTTACTTTATTTTCAAATCTAAAGCTTGACGGATCAGAAAGACGGCCATGAAAGACCTTTCAATATATTGTTATAAATTATAATTAAAATGGTAATTGAAAAACAGACAGATTTTTTTGTTAATATTTAACATTTTTATTTTAACTTCTTAAGCCTCAAGGGGTTTTCTTGATGTGTTTGCTCTAAATCCCATGCTGAAATGTAACTGAGTGTATCTCCAAATTTAGAAATTCTACTTAAAAATCTTAGTATCAAAATAAAGCTAACTTTTGGGAGATTTCATCAGAAGTGTAAGTATTAAAACAGCTGCTGTGGTTTTAAAGATATTAAGGATGGAATATACACACACACACACACACATTGGGGAAAATAAGTATTTAGTCAGTCACCAATTGTGCAAGTTCTCCCACTTA